GATTCAGCTGCTGCTGAAACTGACCAGCAGCGGCTGAATCAGGGATGCCTGGGGCAGAGCTGGACTATCGTAAGGGGGGTCTATGAGGGGTCTGGGGTGGCATCCCCTCCCACCTCACTCCAGACCCCTCATAGGCCCCCCTTCTGATAGTCCGGCATATCTGATAATCCGGCACCCCCTGGGTCCTAAAGGTGCCGGATTATCGGAAGTTTACTGTACAATGGTCTTCATTGTTTCTTTACATTTCCCTTTCACAGATGTGGGAGAGTGCTAGGCACTTTTTTGTGTGGATAATTTAAATAGGGTTTCCTTAGGAGTCAGTCGAATGTGTGGCAGAAGCAGCAACAGCATATGCAGCTAATAGCAGAATAGTGATGTGTGTGGTATCTCAAACATGAATTCAAGGAGAGTAAATGTCTGAGCAGCAGTCAAACCACAAGGAACTTCCCATACACAAAGCGATCTATTTTACTTTTCATTTTCCAGAACTTTAAGAATGTCAGAAGGAGAACATAGCTCCTTCAGACCTGAGTTCTAGTAGCCATATCCAAAACACACCATTTCAGTCGCCCTTAGAAGTACTGAAACTAATCCCATTTGCTATTGTGCTTAGTTTCACCTTTAGGCTACTAATGGCTTAATCTGTCTACACTCCGAAGACTTAAAAATGATATAAAGTGCCAAACTTTCATTGTCTCTCACACCCCAGTGCTGTCCAATATTTCATCCAAACACAGTACTTCACTGATGAAAACAAAGTGCATTTAGATGTGTTAAGGGAACACACACAAATTTACAATGATAATTTAAGTAACAGAAAATTAAGGGTTCTAGTTTTAAAGGGAAGTTGATTTTTTTTAAAGATAGGAATGGAAACAGATCCCAAACTGTTAATATAATACACATGCAGACTTCAGCATGCTTGATAAATGATTACAGGAAGTCTGCAACTTACTAATGGGTTGTGTTCCAAAAGTTTGTTTGTAAGTCGATTGTTTGGAATTCGGAACACATTTTCCCATTGAAACAATGTTATAAATGGTGGTTAGGTTCCCAGGCCAGCCCGCAAAAGCCTAATATTTAGTCCATAATGTAGCTTAAATACTGTATATGTGCAATGAAAAATAGTGGAAAATAATACTGTTGAAATGGTAATAATTAAATTACTACTATTAGTATTACTACTAAAGCAATATGGTTGCAATAGTAGTAATTAAATTAAGCAAAACAGAAAAAAAATAACATTGACTAAGAAATAGTTTTTTATTCAACCTTGAATGCTGGTGCTTGAGGGAAGGCAGGTTTAGTCACTGGAGGATAAGGATTAGGTGAAGATTCCGAAAGGAACTTCTGGGCATGCTCCAGCCGGCCCCTCCCTCACAGGCTCAGCATGAGCTCCTGCGGCCCGTCCCATTCCCCAAATGCCCCCCTCCGTGAACTCTGCGCTGGTCCTGTGGCCAGCCCATCCTCCAGACCTCCTCCCCTGTGGGATCAGCACCAGATCCAGCAGCACCCAGTTCCATCCTTCAACTACCATCTCCCTTCCCCCCCCCCCCCCCACACACACACAGAGCAGCTGTGTCCAGCCCCCACTCACCAGGAAGCAGTGAGCAGCAAGAGCCTGGACCAGAGAACTCCAGAGGAACAGAGGGGTGGCCGCACAGCTGGAGAGAAGTGGCGGTTTCCCCTTCAAAGCACCACTTCTCTCCATCCCTTGCTCCTCCGGAGTCCTCCGGCTTGCACTTGTACTGCTCACTGGCTCCTGGTGAGTGGGTGCAGCCCACCAGGAGTGGGGGGGGGGTCCATCCAGGGGCTGGGGGCTGCCGTGCCAGTGGGAGAGTATGCGGCGGGCGGGAGGGGAAGAGGACGGCCTGGGTATAGGACTGGGGCTGTAGGAGCTGGCTCTTGTGGCCACCTGCACCTCTTGCCTGCTCCCCGAGGCTAGCAGTGAGCTTTTGTTCGTGAGTTGGATGTTTGTCCCTCGGGGAGCACCTGTACATGGAGATGTCTGTTCCTTTTCTATAAGCCTGCCAAGTCCTGACTTCAGCATTGTACATGTAACAAGATATTTACAGGACAGAAAAGGATCAGGTCATTGGGCCTTCAAGCTTAGTATCCTGCTTTAGGCAATGGAGAACACTTGATACTTCAAAGGAAAGTGGAGAGGGAGAAATGGCCCCAAGTAACTGAGCAACACACGGCACAAGGTGAGAAGAAAGTTATTTCCTGAGCCATGCAGTGGTCAGCTTATCCTCTTAAACGTGAAATTTGATTACTCTCATTTTAGGATGTATAACTACAAATATTGGCTACAAAACTGAGCCCCTTTTCAAACTCTGCTGTTCTAGGTTCTCTTATGGCAGAGAATTCTATAGGACGATTAAGTATTGTACAAAAATGGTATTTCGCTCTCTATTTTTACTCCAACACATTAGCTTGATCTAAACCTATCTGGTCACTAGTCCTTAGTTTCTGTGTCTTTAGGTCAGACAATCTTTTTGAAAGGGAGCAGGAAAAGCTGGTCAGCCCTGGTCAAGTTAACTGTGAAGTGGCAGGTGCACTTCTGTATTTCAGTTTAGATGGGGGGCAGCCGCAGCTGTCCCTGTCATGCCTATCTGGTGAAAAGCAAACACAGGAGTATCTCCTGCCAACACATTATTGTTATTTATATTTATATAGCCCCATTCATGAGTGCTCAGAGAGTTTGGGTGAACAAACCACAAACATCAATTGCAGTCATTCATAAAAAAGAAACCTTCTAATTAGATTTTAAAATAGCAACTGGTCCAGCAAACTGGAGCTCTCTGGGGTGAAATTCTACCACAGGGGCAGCAGAGGCTTGAAAAATATGATATTTGGGATGACCAAATGAGAGTAGTATTATTACATAAATTCTGAGCCTATGCAGGGCAGCTTCAAAAGTCAGTCAGGGCAGATGAAGCAAGAATAGAATCAATAAGAAACTGCTTTATTTATGAGAAAAGTTCCTAATACCCTTTTCCCAGGCAGGGCAAGAAATCTTGTTTCCTTTCTGACACTGGGAACAAGTTTCTTTCCTTTGTCCATTTAAAATGCCTGGGGGACTTCTCTGTCCCTTCTCTCTCAACCTATCCACCTGCCCAGAAGACACCAATGTGCTTTCTCTTAAAGCTTGAACTAAGCTCAGAACCCATCTGTCAGGTGTGGCCCAAACCAATTAGAACAGAGACAGTTCTATTATGGGACTGGAATCAGGAAGGGCCGAGCCAGTTTAAAGAAACATATCCAGTCCAGCTAACAGAATTTCAGAGCGCACAGTAAAGTGCACCCAGGGAATTGGGGCTGGCATCAGACCAGACCAACGTGATGTCAAGAAGCTTCAGGGGGTAGCAGAGTCAGTCTGTACAGAAAAAAAACAACAAATGGTCTGGTAGAACTTTATAGACTAATAAAACATGGAGATGGTATCATGAGTTTTCGTGGGCACAGCCCACTTCTTCAGATGACCGGAGTTTCATCTGAAGAAGTGGGCTGTGCCCATGAAAACTCATGATACCATCTACATGTTTTGTTAGTCTATAAAGTACTACCAAACCATTTGTTGTGATGCCAAGAGAAACTCTTCCTGTAAATTTTTTTAAAAATGTATAAATTAAGGAATTCTGCAATAAATGCAGCAGGAGAAAGGACATATTATCACTTTTTAAAATGCATTCATCTCAGAGTCATAGGTTGCATGTTGTGGTCCAGGCGGTACCAGTCACAACTGATTGCTAATTACTTCATCTGTTTCATTGCAGGACTGAATGTGAGTAATGCAACAGGAGAAATCATTTTCCAGCCTGTTGCTCTGCTACAAGCACAGGGAAAGTTAAAGCCTGTTCAGATTCTCGGAGCTGTTCATTAGGCTATTGGTAACAAGATGTGTGCTGCAACATTCAGAACTACACAAAACCCACCCAAATAAAAGGAAGATACAAGGCTATTAATTGTATTAGCCACACACAGAGACGTGATTCTTCATGGAAAGAAGACAGAAGGGAAAAAGCTCCTTTCGCTAGAGTAGGAAAGCAGGTTTTTTGCAGGGTGGGGGGCACATTCTAATGCTCTTTAGTTAGAAAAAGCCATCGTAGACTTTGGGGTTAGGATGGTGATAAGACCGACTGCATTCCAGATTAATATAAAAAGATAAAAGCATGTAAGAGTGTGCACTGGTCTCGCAGTCCTCCTTTTTAACAGCTGTCACCTACAGGAAAAAAAACAGATGAACTGTGTCCCCAAGTCTGAAGTAAATACTGTGTTGTGTCATTTGCCCCGGCAAAAAATTCTTCTAGCCAATATTTTTGGCTTGGAGATATGAGTTTGTACTACCAAACTTGTGGAGGGGAAGAGGGATTCTGATAACCAAAAACCCCTTTCATTCTATATACCCAATAAAGGGCAACATAAACCTAGGATTAAAAAAATAAACAAAAAAGTTTCATATGTCTCAATGTTAATATATCAGGATTATGCTAATTATCAAACTAATTGCAAGATCTTAAGTAACTATGAAATACATATCCAGACAGGAAGAAATCAGAGACATTTCTTGGTAGAAATAGATAATTATTCTTATTTTGAGAATATTTTTTCTGGATTACAGGAAATAGGAGGGAGAGTCCCCTCTCAACTTCATATAAGAATAAACAAAAGGTATTAAATTTGGGAAAGCTACTCATGCATCTTGTCAATAGCCACACAAAACTGGCCCAAGCATACCTGTCACAGACAAATCAAACTCAAACACCATTTAATCAGAGAAAAACACATGCAGATGTTCAATTAAAAACTGGAGCCTACAGTCTTGGCTCTGTTTGCACTGGCCCACATTGTTTGTCGAGTAACAACGGTTGCTATGGGTGACACAGTCCACTCCCGTTTCCAAGGGCTGGTTGCTCGGCGACAGAGAGAATACTTCCCAAACCAAACAATGCTATCCCCTAGCCTATCCCTCTCTCCCGCCCCCGCCATCACACATTAACCAGATCGAAAACACACTTAATATGTCAGTGATTATTTTCAGAAGCCCTGGGAGGACTGATAAATAATTTCTTCTCTATAGTAACTAAGGAGGTGGGGTGGAGGGAAGGTTTATTCTATTTATCCTGAAATAATAAAACAATCCAGGCAGACAGTGTTCTTAAAAGCAAATGTCCAGGAAAAGAACACTTTTAAATCCCTCTTTTATTTTAAAAATATCAACAAATTAACCTCTCTTTGAGGTGATTACTAGTCATTATGCAAGTGATTGTCTTCTCTTCCAGCTTCTACAGGAAGTATGAAGTATAGGCTACAACACAGCAAGTTTACAACAAAAACAACACTACCATGCAAACAAACAAGCCCGAGAGGAGAAAGTTTGAGGCTGCTTTTGTGTCCTATAATAGTAATGCTTCAGAGAAGAAATGCACTGAAGAGTATTTTTTCAGAATTCTGCGAACATGTGAAGCTAATTTGAACTCCACCTTCAGCATTATTGTGGTGAGATCTGAGGCTGGAATTCCTTGCTCAGAATAAAGTCTTAAAGAGTGTTTTAGGAAAGTGCTAAGGTGGTTGGTATGAAAATACAGGAATTTTTAAAAAATTTTGCTAGATTGGTAGAAATGGAAGACAATCATAGATACAATGGCATGAACTGAAACATAAAAATTCTTCTGCACTTGCTAATTATTATTAAAGCCACATGTTACCCTTTTACACTCCCAACATCAGTGGGAACTGTGACTGCAGAATTTATCCCACAGCTCCGATTCTGAAGCCAAAGTTCTTTCACTTTTAAGGTCACCATGACATTGGCTCATCTTCACACTGATTAAAGACTAAGTTTTTAGGAAACGTTGCTAATTCTAAATATTTGAGATTTTTAGGAGTTTTTAAATGACTATGGCATGAAAATGAAACAGATTTTTTTCAGGCTTTTATCCAGTGATAGCTCAGTCTTCCAGTTTAAGATATCAGAATTACAATAAGGCATTCTCTCTTCTGCAAGAGGAAATCATAAGTAACAGAAATGAAATCCACAGGATTGTAAATCATTGCTTTAAACTCCCTACAAAAAAACTGTGCTTTAATGCTTTTAACCAAGATTTTGTGCTTGAACTTTAAAGGCTTTTTTTAATACTGTCACTGACACAAATGGATGTACTCAGCAGTCTTCTGCCATCTAGTTGTGGTCAATCCCTGGGAGGTGGAATCCGTGTTCAGTCAGATGACTTGGCCCAATGGCACTGTAGAGCATGTGACCACTTCCTGGAAGATGTTCCCAGTGGCATTAACAGAAACTGGAGTGAATTTCACCCTGTCTCTGTAAATCAGACAGGTGGTCAAGACCAATGGAATGCCAAGACAGAAATAAAAGGTGAGAAAACTGGAGAACATACCCCAAAAGCATAAAACCAGCAATGAGAAAAATGCATATTGGACCAGGTTACACAATATGCCTTTCATGAACACTTTGCAAAGGTGTCAATGAATCCACCAGAAGCAGGATAATGGAGCATCAGGCTTGGTATATTTTCTTTCATTTCTTAGAACATTATTTCATTGTGTTTCACATTTTTCTGAGTTACATGTATTGTAGTGATGCATTTGTATCTATTTAAGGTTTAGCATGACAGATCATAAAGTCGTATTCTTTTTTGTCACTACAGTATTCTAATAAATTAGTGCTTTAAAATATCGGACCAATTTTTACATTAGAACTGACCGATTATTTTTGGACTAGTCAAATGCCTAGTCATATAAAACACTATTTAAAAGTGTTCTAAGTGGACAGTGCATCTTTATTGCTACAGTCTGCAGCCTTCATGGCTGATTTTTAGTAAAGGAGGAGGTGGGGGTCTGATCTTCAGTGAAAGATATGCCTATTTGATTATTGTATTTTGATCAGTGGCTAGAGCTCATGGAAGCAAGGCCCTTCCCATCAGCTGAAGGAGGAGCCGCAGGACTTAATTAAGTATGAAATATGCTAGACTGAGAACTGAAGAACAAAGGCCTCTGTTTAACCCTGAAGGTGGTACAGAGAAGGCAGAAGTGGTAAGACCTTCCATAATGCTGTCCCTCACCAACATGCTTTAACCATAAAAAACAACAGCAGCCCTGTAGCACCTTAGAGGCTAACAAAAAATATATAGAATAGTGATAGAAATGTATCTGAAAATATATAGATATATAGATAGTATTCTGAGCTTTCGTGGGCACAACCCATTTTGACCAGGAAGAGCCAGCTCATAGAGAGAGAGGGAGTTAGCTAATTTTTAGCCTCTCGACCAAGGCTGCCAATGAACAGGGTAATGGGTGCCAACAGACTGACAACTGCTAGAAACTAAGACCAACCAATTCATTTTCCAGGTGTCAGTGTAAAATGGTAACTGCTAGTAATCACGGCCGATCTAAGAAGGATCAAAGATTCCATGATCAGTCCTTCAAGTCAACCAGGCCCATCCCAGCCTTAAAAATATTAAAAAGGTCACAAGGCCAATCCAAGGACATTAAAATTGCAAGAGTTGACAACTCTGTTATTTTGATGTACGTGTGGTGATTTTTGGCAGTTCTCTTAAAGCCCCAGTTATTGGAGTCCTGTAATATTACCAGGGAATCTGAGTGTCCATTAAAAACAAACCAGACACACAAAAGTTTCTAGCCCTCAGGATTGTGTGGAAAAGGCTTGAAAATTTGACTTTTAATGGCTCCAATACCAGAGGGCAAATAAACAGAACCAATAATGTATTGCTTTTAAAATTCCACGGTTTTTATACCAGGTGCATGATTTTTTGGGGACTGACTCATGATTTTTAAAGGCTTAAGGTTGGCAATGCTGAAATAGGTCTATGCATGTACCATCTTAGTCCACTTTTTGTATATATAAAAGCAAGAGAAAAATCCTCTTAGTTTCTAAAGACAAAGAAGAAAGAACCTCAGTTTTCTTTCTCTTTATTTCTCTTTGTTTCTTTCTCTTTTTCTCTCTTTCTTTCCTTTGCAACTATAGCTGCCACTTCCCAGCACACATGGAGCTTGCTGCAAATCTGACTTGCATCTTGAAAAAAAATATAAAATACTAATACTCTCCAGGCTGCACAAGGAAGGAAGGGAGACCTACGCTTGTGCTTGCACCAGATTTGGAGATTTTTCCTCATTCCTTTTCTAAAGCATTAAAAAATGAAGAGGAAAAACAGGGTGGGGGAAAGTGATGATCCTACTAGAACTAAAATATCCATTAGTGGTAAATTCCACCCACCTCCTCCCCCTCCTTAAAATATGAGCTCCCTGGGTCAGGTTCCACCCGCAAACTTAAAAAAAACAGCTCCAACCACATTGCTTAGTCAGACAGGCTTTTTTATTCTCCAGTGTGTCTAGCTGGCTGCTAGGCAACCAGAACAGCATTGTTGCTCATATGCATTAAGTAGTAACTATTATTTCATTCCAATTTTTTTAAAGGGGTGACAGCATCGATTTAAAGCAGAATGTGCTGTGCCCTGAAAGTGAGCGGAGTTCTAGGCTAATTTGGAAAGACCACAACTAAAGGCCACTCAGAGTTTGCTGAGATTCCCACAGATGTGTCTGGTGAGTTGCCCTGATAATTCAATCATACATGTGGACACATGTCTGCAGGTGGGTACCGCCCAAGTGGATTGCCTCCAAGGGACACAAAACAGCTGCCCTTGGATGGAAGACTCCATTAACGATTTTTACCTGTTTTCGGTTTTTGTTTCTAACTTGTAATGTTTGTACCACCTCGATTCTGGTATAATGTGGCAAACCTGCCTTTACAGAGGAGGCCAAGGCCACAATCGAACTCAGCCCAAAGCCTCGGAAGGGAAGAATTTGAAAAGCTGCAGAAAGAGTATAGGAAGGAGGAGGGCTGGGTCATTCAGATCCTTCCTTCTTTCAGTGAAACAGATCTGCTGCCAGTCTGCAGCTTTGGGTGGAGGATTACTTCCTGTTTTTTCCCCGTGGATTCTACCAAAGCATGCAACATGCTCAAGCATGGCTCCGGAAGTTTAGATTTGATCCTTCGTGTCTAGATAACCTATGTTTTTTAGAGACACTTTCAAGCCTGCAAACTGAGGGGGAAGGATAGAGAAAGCAAGTGTGCATCTAACTAGAGATGTAAAAGCGTGACCATTTAAACAGTTAACCGATGAGCATTAGCTTATCAGTCTTGCTCCCAGGGAGCCAGCTGCCATCGTGCTCCCGAGGAACCCTGCTCCATGCAGCACCCGGAAGTGGCAGCCCCTATGTGTAAGGAGCCTCTGCACACTGTCCCCAACACAAATGCCAGCTCTGCAGCTCCCATTGGCTGGGTACTGAAACCAATGGGAGTTGCAGGCACAGAGCCTGTGGGTACTGCACAGTGCCTCCCTGGCTGCCCATATACCTATTGGCCACAGAGTCCTGGCAGCCACTTCCTGGGAGCTGTGGTAAGTGCTGCCAGAACCCTGAACCCACCCCTGCACTCCAACACCCTGACCCAGCCTGGACTCGGCTCCTGCACCCAAACTCCCTCATCCCTGGCCCCATCCCAGAGCCCACACCCCCAGTCGGAGCCCTCCCCCTCCTCACATACCTCAACTCTCTGCCTCAATCCAGTGAAAGTAATTGAAGGCAAGCAACTGAGTGAGGGGGAATGGGGCAGGGCCTCAGAGAAGAGGAAGGGGAGGGGCTTCAGAGAGGGGCTTCAGGAAAATGGGGAAGGGGTGTTCAGTTTTGTGCAATTAGAAAGTTGGCAACCCTAGTAATCAATTTTTTAATTATTTTACAGCTTCAGCTCTTATAGACCGATTCACTGGTGTCCTACCAGAAACACATGAATAATCACAGCTTGCATGGTAAAAATCTTATGTGGTACTATACGAACAAGAAAATAAAACAGTACTAGTCCAGAAATGTTGGTCTTCATTGTTTACCTTTCCTTCATCCTTCTCCAATATCTTCCCAGCTCTTTAAAATACTCACACGGCTGCATTTCTATGAGATCACACTTTGATGGATCACCCATCAAGTCCAACACAGCTCTCCCCTTATCCTTTTCTCCCAACAAACAAACAAACAAACCCAAAACCCAACTCTTTAGCTAACAACAAAATCAAGCAGCTTTTTGGAAGTGAAACAGCTGCTACCTCTGAGGCAAAAAGGAAATGGATTTTTCCGGCTGTTAAGCAACAGGCTCTGTGCTAAATGTTTTTTGTAAGGGGGCCTGCTGAAACAGCTGTGGACTCAGAGAGCCTTGTATAGGACCTAGCAGTCGGTCATTTGAATGATGTTTGGTCTTACAAAGGTTACACCAGAGAGAGGAATTATATGAACAAACGCTTTGCAGGACTGGGCTCTGTGGTAGTAAACACCCCAAGACTTACACCTGTGAATAACTTCACTGGTGAGTGTAACTACATTTCAGTGGGGCTCTTCACATGTGTAAAGTCATTACATTATAATCACCACACAACCATATGCTACTAGATCAATAGTACTAATGGCAATAAATTCACATTGCCAACAGTTGCCAGTAACTTTTCCAATGCAGGAACTTTGCAAAGGACCAGGGAAATTTGAATGAATGCTACTCCTCCAAAAAGGAAGGCTGTTTTCAGGACTCGGCCAAGTGTTCTACCAGCCCCTTGGAGATCATGTTTGAGTAATTGCAAAACCTTATGGTCCATTATAATGTTAATTCTTAGCTTCGGCTGGCTAGTTGTTGTCAAGAAATATAATTAGATGTTGTGTAGCTACGCTACAAACTGGAAGGAATGCTAAGAATGCCCTTGCTTACAAGTAGAGGAACAATATTAAGAGACCACAAGTTGAAGCATGTATCCTGGGAGTTGTAAAGAATGTACATACATGCACCTCTACAGAGACTGAAAAAGAATCAGATTAAAGATCAGTTAATAGCAGGCATGTATCCCCACCCCAGTGCACACACAAAGCCCCACATGTCCAAAACACAAACCAATTAGAAAAAGCAATCCAAAGACAACCCTCAAATTCTGTCCTGAACTCATAAGAACTTAAAAACGGCCATAATGAGTCAGACCAATGGTCCATCTAGCCCAGTATCCTGTCCTCCGACAAAGGCCAATGCCAGGTGCCCCAAAGGGAATGAATAGAACAGGTAACCATCAAGTGATCCCTTCCTTGTCGCCCATTCCCTAGGGACACCATTTTTACCCATCTTGGCTAATAAATATTGACGGACCTATCCTCCATGAATTTAGCTAGTTCTTTTTTGAACCCTGTTAAAGTCCTGGGCTTCACCAAAAAAAACCAAATAAAAGAAAGTATTTATTAGATTTTGCGTCTGAGTGTATGTCTACAATACAGCGCTAATTCGAACTAACACATCTAGAACTAAAAACTAGTTCGAATTAGCGTTTTGCTAATTTGAACTAGCATGTCCACATTAAGTGGACCCTGAACCGGGGTTAAGGATGGCCGGAAGCAGTGCCGGCAGGGCATCAGATGAGGACTTAGAGCGTGGAGCTGCTGGCTCAGGCTAGCCGAGGGCTGTGCTTAAAGGGACCTGACCCACACCCCAGACAGACAGTTCTCAGGGGTGCCCTCCCTAGGCAACTTATTCCAGTGTTTGCCTCAGACCATTTCTCCAATTTGTCCAGATCATTTTGAATTATGATCCTATCTTCCAAAGCATTCACAGTCCCTCCCAGCTTGGTGTCATCTGCAAATTTTATAAGCGTACGTTCTATGCCATCATCTAAATCGTCCCAAAACTGATCCCTTTGGAACCCTTCTTGTTATGCCCTTCCATTGGTAATTATCCAACAATGGTTGGATCCAGTTATACACGCACCTTATAGTAGTCCCGTCTACTTTGTATTTCCCTAGTTTATTAATAAGAAGGTCAAGCGAGACTGTATCACATTACAGAGGAGAAAAGAGAGGCAACCATTACTAAAATGAAACAATTGGAATCAAAGCAGTCTGTCATTTATTCATTTATGAAATGCCCAATGTCAACAAACCTCTAGATTGGGGTGGCCAGCCTGTGGCTCCGGAGCCACACAAGGCTCTTCAGAAGTTAATGCTCAGGCACTGACTCTGGGACTGGAGCTACAGGAGTCAACTTTCCAAAGTTCCAGGGGGTGCTCACTACTCAATCCCCAGCTCTGTCCCAGACTCTGGCCCTGCTCCACTTCTTTCCTCAAGGCCCCACCCCTTCTCCAGAGCCTGCCATGCCCCTGCTCTTCTTCTCACCCTCCAGAACTCCCTACATGCAGCTAAACAGCTAGGCTACGTCTACACTGGCCCCTTTTCCGGAAGGGGCATGTAAATTTCACCAGTCGTCGTAGGGAAATCCGTAGGGAAATCAAAGTAAGAATAAGACCCTCCGGAAAAGGGCGCTTTTTCCGGAGGATCGGGGCCAGTGTAGACGCTCTTTTCCGGCTTTTTTAAAAGCCGGAAAAAAGCGGCGGACATTTTTATTTAAATGCCGCGGGGGATATTTAAATCCCCCGCGGATTTCCCTACGACGACTGGTGACATTTACATGCCCCTTCCGGAAAAGGGGCCAGTGTAGACGTAGCCCTAGAGGGGAGTGGAGATGCTGAGTCTAGTTTGCACCAATATTTCTGATAGAGATTGAGGCACTGAGAATAAGAGAGCTGATAGCGGGCTGCTGGCATATTACTGGGACTCTTTGGCAACATACATTGGTAAATGCTGTCTCCTTCTCAGGTTCAGGTTGGCCACCCCTGCTCTAGACTCATAACACGGAGCTGTCTGTGGGTTAACTAAAATCAAATATATAGTTCTGTGCTTGGGAATTAGTAAATCGCTTCTGTGAGCTGCATGTAGAGATGGCACTGGAAGAGGATATTCACGTGCAGTCTGTCACAAGTACTTACAGTGACCCTGCTCAATACCTTTTTGAGGAGGATCTGTAGTAACTAAATTGTGTAGGGGAGAAAAGGCAAAGTAATCTTCCACAGCAAAAATAGCCTCGCACTGCCGAAAAGTTATTACGCTGACAGCAACAACTAAACAGTGGAGATTGTAACAACGGGAGAGCACAACACTGTCAAAGAGACTCCTTCAGTGACAGAGCCTGTAACAACAAAAACGCAGATAGTGCATTTTAATCAGCAAAACAGAATGGAGGAGGAAAAGGCTCAGTAAAAAGCGAGTTCTTAAACAGTGCGTGTCAGCTTGGTGATCACAGCAAATTAATATGTCTAATGAAAACTGCACTGAATAAGTAAAAACATGACTGCAGGGACAGTGTCATACCCTGATTTATATGTAACAGACACAGCCTGTCACAATATGTGATAGGTTCTGGCACGATCTCCCAAATTTTGACCACCATGGGTTGGGCTTGCCCTCCGGTCCTATGCTAGAGCCCAACTCACCTACCTAAAGATAATAGCTTGGCAAATTCACATCACTCCAGCTGTCAAGAGACACCACGTTACATCTTAGCCTACTTCATGTAACTGACATCTGCATACATATGGGCTGTGTCTAGACTGGACAGTTTTTCCAGAAAATCAGCCGCTTTTCCGGAAAAACTTGCCAGCTGTCTACACTGGCCACTTGAATTTCCACAAAAGCACTCACTTCCTACTATAAGAAACCAGTGCTTCTTGCGGAAATACTATTCTGCTCCCGTTCAGGCCAAAGTCCCTTTTGCGCAAAACTTTTGAGCAAAAGGGCCAGTGTAGATAGCTCAGATTTGTTTTCCGCAAAAAAGCCCCGATCGTGAAAATGGCAATCGGGGCTTTTTTGCGGAAAAGTGCGTCTAGATTAGCACGGACGCTTTTCCGCAAAAAGTGCTTTTGAGGAAAAGCATCCGTGCCAATCTAGACGCTCTTTTCCAAAAATGCTTTTAACAGAAAACTTTTCCGTTAAAAGCATTTCCGGAAAATCACGCCAGTCTAGACGCAGCCATGGTGAACAGGTCTAAGCTCTTTCAAAACCTCAGCCTTACTTTTGGGTATCTAAAGAGAGCAGCCACAAATTAGGTGCTTGAAAGGGAGGGGACCTCTCCTAAAAGTCTGGCCAACGGGTTGCAAGCTTACAACAGAAACATAATCCATAGTTCAAAAGTCAGTAAAACTGATTATTGTTATATTCTCTGCAGAAGGAAGCTCAGTGTTACTCAAAGAAATAACACCAGCACTGGCATAAAAGGGAGTCAAAGTCTGTATCAACTTTGTATCAAAGCGGATGGACCTGGGATGGGTACATTCATTCCGGGAAGAGGAAATGAGGTAGAAGGATGTTATCTGATCTGTGCCAACAGGAGACTGGTAGAGTCAGAAGTGGGATTTGAAGGCATCCGCCACAACTGTATTCAGTGCCAGTCAATTCAGTTCCTCTTGCTGTGTAACCACTAAGCTAAAAATACCTGGAATTCCTTGAACAAGTATTTTTCCGCTATTGATAAACTGAGTACCATGAAGTTTAGCTGTTGTTTGAGAAGGGAGGAACTTTCGGAGGAGACTTGAAAAACCAAATTTCTGTCTTTTGGTGTGGAACCTTAAAAGTGTCAGTGCACCCACCAAAATACACCATTTCCCTCATATGGTCCATTGGGAATAGGGGACAAAGTGGTGGGTTGTGGGGATAAAGTGGGTGGGCTGGGGGATCGAGTTGGAAGGACCGAAGGGGCGGAGGGTGCAATGGGGTGGGGGAAGATTTGGAGTCTAAAATGGATGGGCTGACAAAAGGAGAAGATGCCTTCCTGTGGGGGAGAGGCACATTAGGGGACTGGGGTTGGGGGGACAGGTCAGGAAGGTGGGGTATCACTCAGCTGCAGGGTAGGGGGATGCATCAAGTGGCTGGTACTTACCGGAGAATGTGACACAAACTGCTCCCTCCTGGCCCCTGGCCCACAGTGTTGGCTGGGCTCAGCTCCCCAGGCATTGTCACATATAGGACTGCAGAGCTGCGGAAGTTTGGCCCAGTTTCTTGATAGGGTCCCAACTGGGCCAAATTTGCATGAGTGGGCTCATAACCTGGCACATATAGTTGCAGCACCACTCACTCACATTTGACTCAGCTGGCCCCCTTGTCATGACTGAGAGGTGGCTGGGCCAAATTTAAGAGATGCTGCAACCCCGTGCACTAGACTGCAACACCTGGAGAATGGAGCTGAGCCCAGCCAGCCCACAACTCTTTGTCACATTCTAGTGACTTAGTTTTGGATCACAGCCCACAGACTGAGAAACCGGGATCTAATGCAAGTGAATTTGAGTGCTAAGTGTGTTTCAAGAAATGCAGGATATTTGAAGCATGTTAAAAGTATCCCCTCTCTCTGGAGACCTGCAGCCCATTTGTCTACCTTGGCAAGTATAGGCTACATCTACTTTCATACAAAAGAGGAGACTAAGGAGGGATATGACAGAGGTCTTTAAAATAAGGACTGGTGCGGAAAAAGTGAATACAGAAAAGTTATTTACTAGTTCCCATAACATAAGAACTAAGAGGTCACCAAATGAAATTAATAGGTAGCAGGTTTAAAACAAACAAAAGGAAATTTTTCTTCACACAGCGCACAGTCAACCTGTGGAATTCCTTGCCAGAGGATATTGTGAAGACCAGAACTTTAATAGGGTTCAAAAAAAGAGCTAGATAAATAGAAGTTAGGTCCATCAATGGCTATTAGCCAGGATGGGTAGGAATGGTGTCCCTAGCCTCTGTTTGTCAAGGGATGGGAATGGATGACAGGACAGGGATCACATGGGGTATGTCTACACTACAGCGCTAATTCGAACTAAGCTAATTCGAATTAGCACAGCTAGACTTAAAAACTAGTTCGAATTAGCGTTTTGCTAATTCGAACTAGCATGTCCACACAGAGTGGACCCTGAACAGAGGTTAAGGATGGCCGGAAGCAGTGCCGGCAGGGCATCAGATGAGGACTTAGAGCGTGGAGCTGCTGTCTCAGGCTAGCCGAGGGCTGTGTTTAAAGGGACCTGACCCCCATCCCGGACAGACAGTTCTCAGGGTTCCCCGCTTGCAAAGCAGTCCTGGCTTGGAGTGCCCTGAGTGCCCACACGCGGAACATCACAGCACTCGGCCATCACCTCGGCTGCACTTGCCACAGGCTGCCATCC